AAGTTAAGACATTTAGGGATATTAATGTCCATTGTTCATTGGTTCTTCTTTGTTTTGGATTTATTGTTGGTGGTGTCATTGCGTGTGGATTTTGCCCTCCTGTTTCTTTTTGTGTTTGGTAAAATTAGATTATCTATTGCCAGTGTTTTTGTGAGGTAATAATAACTTTTAAGGACTAGAAATTTACATTACATCATTAAATGTGCTGCATAGGTACTATACCTCAAATAAGAATAGAAACATATATACATATAATAAAAATAACCTTAAATTTGTGTCAAAATACAAAAATCCATATCAATGTAAACATTTGAGATTAGTAGTTGCTTTTTAGTTTAGATTTAATAATCTAGCCTTTATCCTATCCTTTCTATATCCCTCCCTTTTCTTTTTAGAAAGAGATATTTGAATCTAATCCACTTTGCTTAGCTTTCTCCCTGAGCATGACCAACAACAATTTGTAAACACCCCTCCCCAAATGATAATAAACATCCACAATCTACTGAAAAACCAAAAACCATGAACTCCAAATCTTGGGAATGTGGTGTTGTGTTCTCTAGACTGCTTCCTGTTGTCTGGGGGTGGCAGCATCTCTGGGGACCCTGGGAAATTTGAGATAATGGTCCACACCTGGGAGAGCTTGCTGTGCCATTGGTTTTCTAGTCTCTGTGTAATGGAAAAGTGCAGGACTTATCTGAAGTCCTGGCTGGAGTAGTGTGTGAGACTGAACCATCTCCGCTATCAGCCTTGAAGTTGTTCTGGATACAGAATTTTGAGGAAACTGCATTCTGAGAGGCTGGGCCATCTGGGCTACTCGTCCTCATTGGTGTCTGGTCCTTTTTTTTTTTTTTCTGAAAACACACAAACTTTTAAAGGTAACATATGTGTCTGTATTAATACAAGTATGGGATTGCAATGTGCACACATCAGCTAAAGATGATGATTTGTTTGTTTATTTTATTTGTTTGTTTATTTTACGTTTAAGCAGGTAAAAGGCAGTTGTAAACTTTATAAGTCTGTTTGGACTGCATAACCAAACTATAATATAAATCTCTATCCATGTCATATGAAAAGATGACATGTAAGAATAAGTCACGAAGACTCTGCAGCCAACAAGATTTATCATGTCTCATCCAGTCTCAGAGTTTTCCCTTGTAGAGGGGTTTGCATATACAACTCCTGTCTTGTTTTTCTTCATGTCTTTAGCTAAGATTTTCAGGAGGTCTCCCTCAATCATATCTGATCTTCATTAATTTTGAAGAGATCCATAGATTTTTTGTTTCCTGTGGAAACAAAGTCATAACCTCTCCCCCAATACAACATATTTCCTCACTTTCATTCTGAAGTTAAGGCATTTTAAGTATGTCTCTATATCTGTCTGTCTGTCTGTCTGTCTGTCTGTCTGTGTGTGAGTGCGTGTGCATGCTGGTTTAATTTAGCAGTTTCCATAATCCAATGTCTCTTGGCAGTTATTGTTTTTCTTAAAGATTTATTTATTATGTATAGTGTTCTGCCTGCATGTATGCCTGTGCACCAGTTGTGAGCCACCATGTAGGTGCTGGGAATTGAATTCAGGACCTCTGGGAAGAGCAGCCAGTTCTCTTAACGTCTGAGCCATCTCTCCAGACCCCAGCTATTAGTTTTTGTTCATTAGAATTAAAAAAAAATTAAAGTCAACAAAGCACCATACAGGATCCAGATACTCTGTGTATTTTCTGTCTTTTCCAGGTTTTTTCCTTTTATATTATTTTATTTTCTCTTTAACTACTTTACTATTTTTAAACTATTAATTTTTTAATAACTGTCTATTTTTCTTGTCTTTCTTTAGCATCTAAGAACATTTTTAAGCATAGTATATCTGTTCAGAGGTTTTCTTAGTCTAGACCTGACTTTCTGCACATTTTTAGTGTGAGCCAAAACCAGCGTCACTGTGGCTCTGCTAACACATGTTGCTTGCTGGAAGCTGGTTGGTGAGAGTCAAGTCTCATGCCTGTGGGCCCCAGCATGGAGCTCCATCTATCTGCTCCAGCCTGGGAAGTTTTGGGGCACACACTGCAACAGGTATTTCTACCTACTCTCCCAACAGAGTAGTGCTGGCTGCTCATAGCAGGCAGGGCCTTTTAAAGGAGTTGTGCCCTGAGACCTGGGTTGCCAGAAAGCCACCATCTACTCTGAGTTCAGTACTTTTTTTCAGGCCCTATGTGGCTTTCCTTGTTACATGTTGGGCACCATATGTAGCATACATTCATATTGGACTATCTTTGGATACCCAGCTCCCAAATAATGACATGGAGACTTATTATTAATTATGAAAGATTGGCCATTAGCTTAGGCTTGTTCCACAAGCTCTTATAATTTAAATTAACTTATTTATATTAATCTAAGTTCTGCCACATGGCATTACCTATTCTTATACTGCCCATCCTGCTTCCTCTGTTTCTGTCTGGCAACTCTGCCTTTCTTCTTCCCAGAGTTCTCTCTGTCCCTGGAAGTCTTGCCTAACCTCTTCCTGCCTAGCTATTGGGCATTGAGCTATTTATTACACCAACCACAGCAACATGTCTTCACACAGTGTACAGATATCCCACAACATTGCATGTGACTTGTTTTTATACTGTTGGGGTCCTGTGGGTCTCAGACCCAATTCTAGAGGTGCCAGGCCCAGCATTCATTCAAGTGTGAATTTACTGGGAGGAAGGAAGTGGGAATAATATGTTCCTATGATCAAAAATGCCAGAAGCATCTAAGAGGAAGAAGTCATGGTAAGGAAGGGCAATGAGGGTGGGCAGTCTTCAGGAATCCCAGTAGTCATCCATTTACCTGTCTAGGCTTCACTGCTGGCTTTTGAGTACCATTTGATCTTCAAAATAAGAATTCTTCAGCCTGGTGGTGGCACAAGCCTTTAAATCCAGCACTAGGGAGACAGAGGCAGGTGGCTCTCTGTGAGTTAGAGGCCAGCCTGGTCAACAAAGCGAGTTCCAGGACAGCCAGGGCTACACAAAAAACCCTTCCTCAAAACAAACAAACAAAAAAGAATTCTTCATTCTTTGGGTTAGACTAATGAGTGACAGGGCATTTGGAATGATGCAACTCAACCTGCCCAGGAGTACTGAGTTGCGGTTACACCTGATAGAAATCTATGGCCTTGGTTCCACTGCTTGCTAGTACTGAATTCTTATCACCTTGTAGCATTTGCATCTGCCTTGGAAAATATTTTAGAATAACTCAATAACAACTTCAAGAAAAGAGTCTACACACTTCACAGTTTCTTCTTTTGACATGAATGTGTAAATTAAATTCCCTCCCAAGCTAAAAGAAAAAGGGTTGGTTTCCCAAAAAATGTTTTCATTGGCTTTAGAAAATTAAAACACACCAGTGTTTGGGTGACTAATACTTCCTGTAAAATAAAGATAGAGCAACACATAATTAAGTTCTGGCTCAAATATAATTGTTGTCTTGGAAACAGTTTTGGGTATGAATATGGTTATGTTAATCTCCCCGATTCCTAACAATGATCCAGTTGATTAATTAGGCCAGGCCACTCACTTAAAAGGGTTAAGAAACAAACGAACAGAAAACCCCACAAAGACAGTTTCCTGAGAGAAATGAGGGGAGTAAAAGAAAAAAAAAAGATAAATCTCGGGTTATTTGTTAGCGCTTCTAAACATTCTCGCTGGAGGACTAGGCGACAAGTGCTTTTTGAATTACTTGTGGTTTTCAAAGATCCTGTTGCACTAGGCAGGAAACGGAACGAGGCAGAATACACAACAGTGTGAAGAATCCCTGCCCCTGCTTCTCGGGTGCAACATCCCAGTGTTTTCTCGGTCCCGAGCCCAGTTTGCAGCAGTTTTGTGGGAAGTTCTCCTTAAAGCACAGCCCTAAGGGGAGCCTGCAGGCGCTGGAGGGTTTGGATGGGGCCGAGTGTGAACTCTAGGCGTGAGAGCGCATCTCAGCTTAGCTCACACTCAATCGGCGGTGCGTGCGAGTGTGAGCGCGGGTGC